GGGGATGTGTGGGACGGGTGCAGGGTTGGGGTGGCCCTCCTGGTCCCATGGGGAGCCCCACGGGATGGGTCCCAGGGGGTTCTTGGCTGCTCGGTGCCCGATGGCCTGCCGTGACATGGGGGCCGCGGAGGGCGGTTGCAGCCCCATAGCGGGCGTCCCTGTCCCGCGCGGGGGCAGGTGCCGGCCGAGCCTCGCGCCGTCCCGGCCGCTGACGCGCTCGGCGCCTTCTCCCTCCCTCCGTCCCTGCCAGGGCGGCGCGCGGTGCCAGTCGGGCGCCATGTCCCGCCGCAGCCAGCGCCTGGGCACCTCGCGCTACTACGCGGGCGATGAGGACGCGGCCGCCAGCAGCAGCGGCGGCAGCAGCTCCCTGCCGGGCGGGCTGCAGCCCCCCTTCAAGGAGGCCGCCCCCAGGTCGGTGCMCGGGGGAGGTCGGGTCCCCGCCTCGCTGATATTCGTGCGCCGGCTCGTGCCGCGCCGAGAGCGCGGCCCTGTCCCCCCTGCACGCTCGGCGTTTCCGTCCTGCGCGGGCAGGAAGCCGCGGCGGGCGGGCGGCGGAGCACCTCGCTGCCGCAGCGGGAGGCGGCACCTCGGCGGGAAGCGGCGGCGGAGGCGGCAGCGCCTCGGTGCTCCTGGGGCGCCCGCGCGGGACGAGGGCAGCGCGCGGGGCAGAGGAGGCGCCGGGCAGCGCCGCGGCTCCCCGGCTCCCGCTGCTGCGTCCCGGCGGCCCCGCGCCGCGCTTGCGAGCGTCCTCTCACCTCCGGCAGAACCATCAGGAGGAAATCGAGCAGCATGAAGCGCCTCTCGCCCGGCCCCAGCACCCAGACCACCTACTACAGCGAGTCCATGATGAGCGAGTCCTACCTGGGCGGCAGCAGGCCGCTCTCRGCCCTGGGCAGCTCGGCCTTCGACRACGGCCTGGACAGCAGCAGCTTCTGGGGTGAGCGGCCCGTGCCGTGGCCACGGGCTGCCCRTCGGACGCGGCGCCAGCAGCGCTGGTCACCCGCGGGGCGCTCAGCTGYGCTGGTTCCTCAGCGGGGCCCCTGTTTTGGTGCAGGTGGGGAGCTCTCGATGAGGAGGAGAAGAGGGACGGGGGATACCGAGGCCAGTAAAACCAACGGGCTGGTGGAGAGCAAGACGTACGACACGTACGCCTCCTCGTCCGGCTACTCCTCGGAAGAYGACTATGGTGGTAGGGATGCGGGGAGAAGGGTGGTGGGATCAGTCACTGGCCGAGAGCAGCTTTCTGCCGAGGCCCTTGGCGAGCTCCGCCTGGCCGTTCACCCYGTCTCGCCCTCCTTTTCCCGCAGGTCACTTTAGCTCGGGCCAGAGCAGCTCCGGGTCGGGGCTCCGGAGCGCAGCCTCCCGCRTCGGCTCCTTCCTCTGGCACGTGCTCACCTCTCCGGGTGAGTGTGGGCATACGGGTGGCTTCCCACGGCACCTTGATGCTTTGTGGGGCTCTGCCCTCCCCACGAGACCGCGAGCACTATTGCCTGCTCGGGTGGATGCTCCTTGGCCTTAGGTTTGTTACTGTCCCTGAAGTGTCACTAATTRAAGAAACTGAAGTCAGAAGCTTTTTTTTTWWAAAAAAAAAAAAWAATAATTAARGGGGGGGAAATAAAAGGTACGTGCATGAGTGGAAAGGTTTTGAAAGCTGCTGAAGGGATCTGTGCCTGTGAGGGATGTGAGGGTAAAAGCCCAAGTGCAGCTGCTGGGTGAGCCTGAAGGTTCCTAGCCGAGCCGAGTGATGGGGTGCATGCAGTGGAACTGAACCGTGTTGTCCCCTCCTGTCCTCCCATCGGGAGCACTGGGGAGAGCCGGAGCAGCCYGGGGAGCGCGGGCACGCGTGTGCCGGGCTCCCGTCCTGAGGGTAGATCCGTCTCTCACAGCCCGGTTCCTGGGCTGGCTGCTCTTGGGGGTCAGAGGCGCGTGGCGCCGGCTCGGCGGCGGAGCTGCCCCGATGGACGGCATTGCCCCGCGGAGGTGAGCGGGGCGCAGGCGGCGCGAAGCGCGGGGCACGCGCTGCAGGCTGGGGCAGTGCTCGCCGCTGAATTTGCTTTRTTCATGTGTTTAATGTGGTCTTTTTCTGGTGGAGCTCTCCCTACCGATCCCCCATTTCTGGCTCGAGCCCAAAGGAGGGCCACGCATGGGAGAAGGCAGCTGCGGCCGCACAGGCGCCTCTTTCTTCTCGCCTCTCCAGAGGCTGTTCGGCTCTGAAGAAGTTCCTGCTGCTGCTGCTGCTCCTGCTGCTCCTCGCTGCGGTCGCCTATGGTAAGGAACCCGGGGCTCGTGGCTCTCTGTCCTCTCTGCCCCGCGAAAGCCCTTCCGTCCTGCGCCGAGTGGAGGGACGGTACCGTTGTGCCGGGGACTCGAAGCTGGCGCCCCGCTGCMGCGCAAATGGCAGAGCCCAAATCCTGGCACGTGGGGCAGGATGGTGCCTGGGGACAGGCTTGGGGCCCCTCGTTCCCAGCGCCTTGTCACCCCTGCCCCCAGAGGCCACCAAGTGATGCTTGATGGAGGTGGACTCTGCTATGGCACGCTCCCTGCCCACCGCCTTCACCCTCTCATCTCTCTGCCTTGCCAGCCACTTGGTATTTCTACCCGTATGGCCTGTCCACGCTCAGCTTCCCTGCGTTTCCCTGGGGATCTGCCAGAGTCTCCTCCCCTGGAGGAGCTGACGTGCAGGGAGCTTGGGACCTGACTGCCCTGGATCAGGTAAGGGCTGGCGTGGGGCYGCTGGGGTGGGTGCCCATGGGGACACGTAGGGCCACGTGATCGGGCTCCCGCTACGGCCCTGTCAGCTTTCCAGGCATCCCTGGAGGGGTGGCACAAGCCACGTGCCCTTTTCAAGGAAGTGACACATGAACGACGTCCCTTTGGGACCGGCGGGTGTCAGTGCTGGTCCCTCAGGAGCAACCCCAGGGGTTGGCGCCGTGCGCAGGGCTGCTCTTGGACGGTGCTTCCCTGTGCCGCCGCAGGGGCCGAGCGGGACGCCGCAGCTCCTGGCGCGGCTGCAGGCCCTGGAGCAGCGGCTCGAGGCGCTGGAGGCCGAGGCGTCGCGGTGGCGGCCGCGGAGGGGCGAGCTGCAGCAGGGGGACGCGCTGGCGCTGCTCGAGGGGCTGCTGAGCCGGCGGCAAGAGGAGCTCGCGGAGCACGTGCGCCGCGGCCAGGTGAGCCGGCGGCGCGGGGCCGCCCCGGCGGAGCGAGCCGGGGCTCCGCGCGGGGCGCTCACGTCCCCGTGTCCCGCAGGGAGAGCTGGACGCCCTCCGAGCCCAGGTGCAGGGCGATTTGAACGAGCGCCTGGGGAAGGTCGCGCAAGCCTCGCAGGTACGGGCAGGAGCCCTCGCCGCTCCCGGGAGTGYGGGGAGGGATGGGGGGACCTGTCGTCCCTTGGAAGCGGGATGTGTCCGTGCTGGGTGCCAGCAAGTGGATGTGGTGTTGGTGGGAGCCTCCTGCCAGGCTTGTTTCCGCACGGGAGCGGGGTGGTGGGGACGGGAAGCACTGTGGAGGCTGCGTTTATGCCCCAGCTGGCAAAGGTCCAAACTGGGCTTTCCATGTCCAGCAACCAAGAGGCGAGCGTCGTTCCCTGTGGCACAACTCCCGGGAAGTAGGGCAGTGTGTGCCGTGTCTGTGCTTGGGGAGGGTAGAGCGGGGCCAAGACATCAGCAGGAGAGAGGGCCTTGGGGGAGGCCCCTGGTTTCCCTTGTCCTGCCGGCTCTCCCAGCGGAGCAGCCCTGCTGCAAAGGACAGGGAACAGCCTATTCTGGTTGAGACRCCTGCATCCTGACATGACTTTGCTTAGTTTCACGTACTCGTTGCGGATCTTACCCGGGCGTTTTTGTTTCCCTTGTGACTGTTTTGGCAGGAGATGGAGGCCCGCTTGCTCAAGCTGAACTCGGAGTGGCAGAGGTACCGTTGGCCGCCTGGGCTGAGCCGCTTCTCACCGCGACTTCACCTCTCCCGCCTACGCTTGTGTCCTGTGTTAGGGGCAAGCACATAGTGGGGTGAAATTGCACACATAGTGGGGTGAAATTGCACACATAGTGGGGTGAAATTGCACACATAGTGGGGTGAAATTGCTTTTTGCAGAGCTTGGAAAGGGTTTCCAGCTCAAGTTTGGTGAGGGAGCTGAGAGAGACTGAAAAGCACCATTTTAAGGAAAAGAGGTTGAGCGAGAAGTGCCCTGGGTAGCAAGGCTGCTGCAGGGGAGGCAGCAGCGAGTGATGGTGGCCGAGACCTGTGTCACCTGGAGCCACGCAGGCGGGAGCAGTCCCACGGCCGGGAGCTCTAGCCGGTGGGGCAGAGGCCCCAGGTTTGAGGAGGGGAGCTGGGATCGTCSGTYGCTGGCAGCTGGGCTGCGAATCCCYAGTCTGCCGTGCTGCCCGGCTCACSCTCGTGCCCTTGTTGTGTTTCCTCTCTTGGTGGGGTGCAGCTCCACGCAGGAGGCCCTGAGGGGGAGCTTCCAGMAGGACATGGACAAACTGGAGCGGGAGCTGGCGGGCCTGAAGAGGGAGCTGGCACTCCTRAAGTCGGACCAGGAGGTGGTGGGGAAGCACATGGAGGTCATGCTGGAGCAGATCAAGGGAGTGCGAACAGACGTGAGTTCCTGATCCTCCACAGTGGGTCTGGCCTGCCCCATCTCGGGGCTGCCTGGGTTTTCGGGAGCGCTCTTGCCAAGGGCATCGGTCCCCTTGCGGATTGATCCCGGGGACCTGCCAAGTCCTTGTGGTGGAGGACGGGAGGCAGCTCTACCCGGGGCTGAGCTCCCGCCTTGCTGCTGCAGGTGGAAGGACAGATCCCAGCCTGGGTGAGCCAGTTCTTGTCGCAGCCACGGCGGGACGGTGCAGCCGGCCTCTTCCTGCAGCGGGAAGACTTGCAAGCTGAGCTCCAGGCCCTGGAGCGCAGGATCCTCGCCAAGGTCTTGGAGGAGCGGGCGCTTTCGGCACAGGACGCCCAGGCTGGCATTGGAGTGGCCCTGCAGCACGGGGGCATGGCAGGCGTCACKGAGGAGGTGAGTGGTAGCCTGGGGACATGCGGCACCTGTGGGCGCTGGAGGCACCGTGGAAGGCCCGGGCACACGTGCCTGGCGTATAGTGGAGACATGGGGACAGCCCTTGTGCCCGGGATGCTGCTCCCGGCTGTGCAGATGGGTGTTGGAGCAGGCTAGGATACGCTGTGGTGAAGGTGACGTTAGGGCTGGCAGACTCGGTGTGTTTTCCTCTTGCCCCTTTGCTGCTTTCCTTGCAAAACCCCGTGTCAAGCTTGGCAGCCTCTTGCCAAGATGTGTGCTTTGCTTTTGCGTCTTAACACAAACCAGTTCTCCTGCATCAGAGGTTTCCAGCGGGGGTGGGTGGGATTAAGAAGCTGCTGGGCCTGGGRCACGCTCGGCCTTGCGGGAAGAGCTTGTGCTCCTGCTCTGTCCCTCCTTTGCTCGCTGAACACAGTATTCCTTGCTTGGCCCCTGTGAGCATCTCTTTCCTCGCCTCTCCAGGCGGATGCCTTGTGGCAGGGCGCTTGTCTCGGCATGTGTCTGGCCTGCTCTGGGATCTACTAACTCTAAGGGAAGAGGCTGGTTTGGGAAGCCTGCTAGACAGGATTCTGCAGCCCCCTTTAAAGAGGGGCAGCTCCCATGGCTGCTGGGTTATCCTGCAAGTGTGGGCCTGTGCCTTGCAGGTGAGGGCGGGAGAGGAAGAGGAGGCAGCCACGGTCTGCCTGCCTCGCCTCTAAAACCTGCCGCCGGTGCTCAGGCCCTTAGTTCTTGGGCCAGGGAGATGTGGAGAAAGGAGGAGGCGTGAGGACGCCGGGGCTCGCACGTCATTCACCCGAAAGCCAGGCAGGAAAAGCCCAGCGAGGTTTCCATGGCTGGGACGGGATGTTTGCAAACAGTCCCACTTACTGCTGCTCTCTGCAGTGATGCAGGGACTTTTTTTTGGGGGGGGGCATTTTAATTGAATGACACCACAGGAAAAAATGAGCCTGTCTGTTTTGGAAAGATTTGTTGGCAATCYGCTATGGAGGGCACGTGGAGAGAGGCAAAAACAGGGATTAACAGCAGGCTCTGCCCCACAGTCCACTCAGGCCTCATGAATGCTATAAAATTTAGACACCAAACAGTGGTGCTGGATCCCTCCTCTTGGATTCAGTTCCTGAGGAATATATTTATTTCTTGTTTGCCTGTCTGGGAGAAGTGGAAGGATTTTTTTTTCTTTTCTGGGATTCAGTGACTTGTGTGATCTCATGCAATGCTGGTGTTGCAGCCTCGGGTTTGCCAGATAGGGCAAGCTGGTGTTGGTCCCTATGAGAAGGGGAAGCAGCAGGATGAAGCTGGGAGAGCCACACGAGCTGAAAGGCTGTGTCCAGCATCTGCAGGGCATCCAGCTCCTCTGGTGCAGCCAGCCCATCCATCAGGATGGGGAAGGGGAATCCAGCATGCCTGCACATTGCCACCACCATGTGTGGCAGCTGTAGCCAAGATGTTTCCAGGAACACCTAACACATCTCTGTAGCCAAATGCACAACCTCGTGYCTTTGCTGCATGGATTCTCCTGCTGGCTGCTTTGGGAAAGGGCCTTTGTCCCAGGAGGAGGCGCTAGCCCAGGGCCCCGGATSCGTCAGGGGACAGGGTGTCCTTGCCAGCCCTTCAGCCCTCTCGTGCCCCCTGCTCTCCCCGCAGCAAGTGCACCGCATCGTGGAGCAGGCCCTGCGGCGCTACAGCGAGGACCGCGTGGGCATGGTGGACTACGCGCTGGAGTCGGCAGGTAGGCGCCAGTCCCTCAGCCCTGGGGCTGGGGGAGGCTGGCTCCCTTCTGCGCTGCGAGCCGCGCATGGGCAGCACTGGGAAGCACTGGGCGTGTGTGGGAATGCTGTCCCGGCTCCCGCGCTGCGGGGGCCGCCCGGCGCCTGGAAGCTGCCGCCTCACCGCGGCCTTCCCGCTCCGCGCCAGGGGCCAGCGTCATTAACACCCGCTGCTCGGAGACCTACGAGACCAAGACGGCGCTGCTGAGCCTCTTCGGGATCCCGCTGTGGTACCACTCGCAGTCCCCGCGCGTCATCCTGCAGGTGAGTGCCGCGGGGAGCAGGGCCCAGCCGCTGCCGTCCCCGTTTCTCCCTCAATCTCCGATGGATTTGGCCCATCCTGTTGCTTGAGTGAGCTTAGAGACAGCCCTCTCCTTTCCTTTTCTTCCTGAGCCCCTGCTCCCTCTGTCCCACCTAGTTTCTCCTCTCCAGGGCCACTTACACCCCCTTCTTTTCTTCACCTTTCACTATGCTAGTGTCCTGGGAGGCGCCTCTTTTGCACACTCCACATGGAGGAGGGTAACTCCTGCTGTCCCCAGGAGGGCAGAGGAAGCACTGGGGGAAGGGAACAGGATGCAGAGACACCTGTACAGTTTTCATAGGTCTTCAGTGCCGTGGCTGCGTGCGCTGGTCTCACTCTGGGGGTAGTTTGCGACCAGGCAGCCTTCCAGAAGTGGCGGCCACTGCGTAAGGCTGGAACAAAGTTGGGCGCAGCGGTTGGTGTGTTTCCTGAGGCAAGTTGTGATGATGCTGGAGTAAAAAGCAAGTGGCAGGTCTTGAGTCACCCTTCTGGGTCCCACCTGGGACTGTCTCGCCTTGAGCTGGGTGTTCAGCTCAGCCCAGGACCAGCCTGGCCCTTGTCCCTCTCTGTGTGCTGTGAAGAAAGAGGACTTTCTTTACAGCAGCTTAGACAGTCGCTTTGGAGCAGCGTGGTCCCCTCACACTCCTCCACACAGTTAACAGCTGCTGTGCTGTCCAGAGGTGGCAGCATCTTATAGGGAATAAATACATCCTCATGGAGCCTGTAAAATGCTCCAGGATGAGGGAGCCGAGGTAACAGCGGGAGAAAAGCAGTGGTAATGGCAGTAACCTTCCTGCTCATGCCTGAGAGCTGGTGTCTTGTTCCCGTGCGCGTAGCCAGACGTCAACCCYGGGAACTGCTGGGCATTCCGTGGATCCCAGGGCTTTGCGGTGATCCGCCTCTCCAGCCCCATCCGTCCCACGGCTGTGACGCTGGAGCACATCCCGAGAAACCTCTCGCCCCAGGGGACCATCCCTAGTGCTCCCAAGGACTTCACTGTCTACGTGAGTATCCTCTCCTGGACCCCAGGGAGCAGGTGGATGTGGGGAGACTGTGCAGAGGACTGCAAGAGGATGATGTGTGTGATGTGCTTGGTGGGAAAAGGGGAGCGAGTAGGTGTAACTCTTGGTCTTTCTTCTGTCTCTTCCCACTGGTCCCTGTTCCCCTTTGTGTGTTTTGGCCCGGAAAGGCAGGCACGGTATCCAGACGCACTTGTCTCCGTCCCCCACATCTGCCCTGGACTCTGGTCACCTCACGTTCTCCCTCTCTGCCTCCCTTCCCCCTTTGCTTGTTCCCCGTAGGGTTTGAAAGAGGAAAGAGAGGAGGAGGGCGCCCTCCTTGGACAGTTCACCTACAACCACGATGGTGACCCCATCCAGACGTTCTACTTGAAGGTGAGGTGTGGGCTGGCGYAGGAGCCCTGCCGCCAGGCTGAGCCCCCGCAGCAGGGAGCAGGCAGTGCTGCTGGGGGATGCCCGGGTGGAGGACCTGAGGGCCGCAAAGCCACCCTAAAGGTGCTTGGTTGGTCCTTGGAAGATTTGCCTATGAGGAGTCGCTGTTCCGGCTCCTGTCATTCTGGGAGGGATTGCTGCAAGTTTTGCTCCTGTCCTTGGCCCCAGGCCAGCTCGTGTCCCTGGCAGCCACTGGCAGCCAAATTTGAGGAATGTTTTCCCCCTATCCCAAGGGCTCAGGCGCATGTTTCCCTTCCTGCTTTGAACCATCTCCTCTCTCTCTCCCTTCTTGCTAAGAGTGAAGATGGGGCCACGTTCCAGCTGGTGGAGCTCCGGATCCTGAGCAACTGGGGGCACCCCGAATACACCTGCATCTACCGCTTCCGCGTGCACGGGGAGCCAGTGCACTGACCCCCCCGCCCGACCGTCCGTCCCGGCCGGCCGCCCCGGTCCCGCACGGGCAGCGCGGGATGATGGCGCAGGGAGGAGGCTGCCTGGAAGAGAGCGACAGGGAATTCGTCCATTTTTTTGCYGCTTCACATGTAAAAAAACGCTGGGAGGTTCATGCAGCCCCCCTGGAGAACTTGTTCCCCTTCAGCTTTTCTGTGCTGCTGCTTGCAGAGGGGGAAAATTGGTATTTAGGGGAGAAGACTGTAGTCTTCAGAGGACGGGGTGGTAAGGCAAGAGCATCCTRTGTGGGTCCTAGCATGGCCTGGGTTCTTTTCCACGCATATCGGACTCTTTGACTTTTTAAGCTAGCTTTTTATCAGGCCGGTGCAGTCCACRTGTCCCCTCTTTCCCCACCTCCTTTCTGATGGCGCACGCAACCTTCCTGTGGCTTGTGGAAGGTGTCTGTAATCCTGTGTGCTGCTTCATGCAGGCTTGGGCATGTTGCAGCGTGCGTGGCCTTGGTGACCGGTTTGGTGACTTCAAAGCACGTGGGGAGCTTGTCACGAGCAGCGAGTCTCGTGTCGCTGTCACCTCCCTTCTGCTTGGGGCCATCCTTCTGCCTTGGCCTTGGCTTCCTAAAGGCCCAGCTCTTCAGAAGCGGCTAGCAGAGGGCAAGTAAGGCAGTAYTGAAGCAGTATTAGTATCAAAGGATTCAGGGCAGCGGGGAGGGAGAAGGACGGACGGGGGGCTGTGAAGYGTGGCCCCCCGCGCTGCTTTGCTGCCGGCTGCGCCGTGTCACGATGCTATTGACAGCCCCCGGCACCTGCTTCCCCTTTGCGGGCTGCTCTGTTGTTTTCTAAGGGGGGAGGGCTGGTCTGAGGTGAGGGCGTCAGGGCTTTTTTTGTAATAACAAAGGGAAAAAAAAAAAGGTTTTTTTTTCCCATGCAGTTTCTACTTAACCAGAGAATGTTCTGTCATGTGGTAGCGCTCGGGCGAGCGGCTTAGGCCCAGAGCGGGCTAGAGCTTTATGTAGTACGAGACTAGTGCGCGCAGCAAGCTAAGCTAGGCTAAGCTGGGCAGAGCTGTTGGAATGCCGGGCTCGGGATGGCGACGTCCGTGGCAGCGGCTGCYGGGTGAGGTGCCGTCGGCTGCCGCTGCGTCCCCGGGGCAGCAGCCGGGCTTGCTCCCTTGCTTTCCTTCCCTGGGAGGAGGCCCTTGGAGCGCGGGCAACTCGTGCCCGCTTGCCTGTAGGTGCAGCTGTACGTAGGCAAGGTGCTGGGGAGGCCGAGGCCCGCTCCGTGCGCGTGCAGCTGTGGAGCAGGGCACAAGGGCAGGATGCGGCTGCCGCACGCAGCCGGCGGGGATGGGGCAGTGAGTGCCCCGCTCGTTGGGCTCATGTTCTTGGATAGCGTTTATGACATCCCCACCGGATTGTCTYGAGTTGAAAGAGAAGCCAAGGGCTCTCCTGGCTGTCGTTTTGGCAGGCTGCTGCTGGCATCGCCTTTCCCAGGCAGTGCAAGTGCTGGGGGAGCAAGAGAAAGYGGCTCCTGCTCTGGTCTTTCTGCCTGAAGCACAGTGGGGCAAAGGGACCTGGTGCAGGGGAGAGCTGAGGGGGTTTCTCCCAGCTACATGCCTTTAATGCTACCCAAGGGGGAGAGAGGTGGCAACGCTGCCTTCCTGAGCGGGTCTTCCTTTTCCAAGAAAGCAAACTAGCTTCCTATCCTAGTCCAGGGACTATCCCTGAGGCCTAGTCCCACTTCCACAGTTCTCCCTTGGAGTCTCATGGAGGCCTCTGCTGCCAGAAGAGAGCAGAGCCGCAGCCAGCGAAGATAAATTCTGTCCTATATTGAGCCTAGAGACAATTTTTGGCAGCTACAGCCAAAGTTATTTTAAACGTGTGTGCAACTGCCTGCTTAGCCTTGGAGCCACGGCTCCTGCCAGGGCCCTTTGTGCGCAGTGGGGMTTCTGCAGAGGCCTAGGCCTTGCTAGGCTCAGCAGTCTTTCTGTGGCTTATCCGATGAGAAACAGTGCTGGCATGCGGAGATGAGAGTCTCCTTCCTCACAGCATTTCTGTGTCCTTCCAATACCATAACCATGAGGCGAGAAGGCCATTTTGCTCCTRTCCCTTCTGGCTCCCTTGTGGGGAGAGCGCCTGCCTGAGGGACTGGCCTTTTTGTAAATAAGGCACTGGAGTGAGAGGTGGGAAAAGGGGGCCTCTTTCCCCTGTGGATGGAGCTGGAACCTGGCCCCTTTGCTCCTTCTGAGGCTCTCCTAACCACTAGCCAAGGGCCATGGAACCGCCTGCTTTAAGAGAAGGAGCTTGCAGGGGTAATGAAAGGAAAGGTGGATCCCTGCGGGAGAAAGCTCCGCRTCTCTGCCCTTGTGGGGTAAAACCCCTTGGAGCCAAAAGGGGGAGGAAATCCCATCTTCCGTGCTTCTCTGCAGTGCTTAGCTCTCATTTTAGTGCCCTCTGTGTGCTGGGTGCCCTGGGCCTGCTCCGCTTGCACACAGGAAGGGTAAGTGCCATTTACAGGGCCCTGAGCTGGACACTGGATCGGGGCTGCAGCACAAGCACTGAGTGCCCATGGAGGCATCTCTTTGCATCTCTGTGACCCCTTTCCTGCACTGTACAGCTGCAAGGAAGAAGAGGGCAAGAAAAAARGCAGCATGCAGTAATGCCCCCCTCAGCCTGGGGCCTCTGGAGTCCCCAGCTCCTTAGGATGAGCAGCACGAGACCAGAGCAACGAGGCAGCTGGCGGAGCAGCCTTCCCATATCCACTCCCTCTGCCTCCTTTATTTTCCCCTCATTCTTGGTTTGTCCCTAACACAAGTGTTAAAATTAGCCCTGCATAAATGGGTGGTTACAGGGTAGGAGATGAATTTGTATGAGATTTTGTAGCCTGTTGCAAAATGCTGCACTGTTTTGTTCGTTTTATTTTTTAATCAACGGATTGTAATTTATGCCTATGCAAGAAAAAATAAAAAGAAAAATAAATTATATCAAAAGTGTTGGCCTTTGAAGTGTTTCGCAGGTGCCTTTGCTAGTGAAGAAGCTTGCACAACCATCAGACAAAACTCCACGTAGTGCTGCAAGATTTCAGCTCTTGCTTTTATGGAGCTTTTAACTTTCTTTCCCTAAGTTTATTACAGAGCCTCTATCCACCACGTAGTTGCCTCCTGAACAGATGAATGCTTGCCCTGTTCATACCACATCCTTACTTTGCAGCATGACCTGTCCCTTCTAACAAATCTCAGGCCTGACAAAAAGCTCAATTAAAGGTTAGCTACACATTACTCCCTTTTCCTTAACACGGGATATAAGTTACCCAGCAGCAGGATAAGACCAAGTGAAAAGGGAGTATTTTATACTCAGCTTCAGCAAGCCAGGAGTCTGAAAACAGCTACAAAAGGGGGCAGGGGGAATCCCACCAGTGTTGACTGGAATATGATGGACCAGAGACAGACTCCACGTGAGGGGATTTCCAGCAGCTCTTCAGAAGAAAACCATGCTAGAAGGGAGGCGCATTTGGTATCAGCCCCTGCCTCAGTGCCTTTTTCCTGGGGCGAGGAGCTAGATCTGGCTGGAGAGCAGGGGCTACATGTGAACACACAGACAACAGAGGAAAGGGACCGGTGCCTGGTGGCAGCAGCAAAGGCCCAAGTGCAGGCAGCAGTGAGCAACCTACCTCCTGCAGGAAGMCCAAGTGTCCCGGCTGGAGCTGGCCCCAAGTGACTGGCTAGAGCAGCACTTCGCAGAGGAGCTGCTGCAGCGAAGGGATGGGAGCAGCTTCCACAGGCGCAGCCTCCTTTCACAGTAGCAAAGGAATGAGGTGCCAGACCCCTGCCCTGGCTTTTGGAGTGACGGCAACAAGCACCGATTTTCCAGCGGGACAAAAAGCGACAAGACAGGTTTTTAACTTCGAACAAACTTTTTTTTTAAAATTTATTTTATAGATCACGTCAGCCCGAGTGATCTTTGAATGCTGGTCACAAAAGAGAGATCACACCACCTCCTTCACATGAACTTAAGTAAATCTGCTTCTAGCCTCAGCAGTCTCCTTCATTCGGAGCACAAGGAATGGAGAAAGRAAAAAAAAAACTGCCTGGAGAAATCTGCTCCCTGCAGAAGCAGGGGGCAGTGAAATCAGATGCAGTTTGGTGCTGCTGCAGAGCCAGAACATAAACAGGCCAGGTCCTAATGCTCTTCTAGCCACACTTCACACCCCCTCACAATGTGGGTGCTATTAGTGTTGTAGCTGCCTATAGTTCCTCCCCAGGAGAGCGCTGGTATTTAGGCACATAGCTTGGATAGGACTCTCTAACCTCCCGATTCCACCACTGCTCAGGCCACTCCAGTCTCTAAGGCAAAGTCCATATTCCTCACACCTCTTCCACAATGCTTAATGCTTCTGGAGTGCTGATACACCAGCATCAAGACATGCTCTCTCTCCCCAGAGCTTTACAGCCTATTCTTGCTCAGCTGGCTTTAAATCATCTCAAAACACAAGGCAAAAGGGAATGACCTCCCTACTTGTGGTACTTGCCACAGACGAAAACAGGAACAACCATCCCAAGAGGGGCAGAAACTTTGAAGTCTTTCCCTTATCAAAAAACATTTCACTGGGTGAAATCCTCAATGAAACTGAGGCTGATGGACTGCACCTGCAGTGGAGAGCTACAGTCTGCTTGTAATGCCACTACCACCTCCTCCCTCGAGATGTTAACAGGCTCCCACCGCTCCCCACAGGCCTGCACTGGATCAGTTTTCTCCTCCAGGGAGCGAATAGAAGAGGCAGGGATAGAAGAAAAAAGATAAGAACAAACAAGCAGTTGATCACCCACAGAGTCTGTGGTTAAAACACATGATACTGATATCAAGTCAATTCATGTATCTCCTTGCAGGGCCTTCCTGTAGAAGCCAGAACACGCTATTAAAAAAAAAAAAAAAAAAAAAAAAAGAAAAAAAATACCACGTACTTCCAAGACTGGAAGTACTTCAAATTTGGTACCAACTCAYCATTGCCCTCTTTGTCCAGGAGGAGACATGACAAATCCAAGGTAGGATTTGTCAGGGCATGGCTTGGCCAGCGAGTTCCAGAAGAGAGGTGGGAAATCTTGAAGTAGGCAGAGCCACGGGAAGACAACGTTTGCCTGCTGCCTCTGCTCCAAAGGTGTATTCCTACCTGGGATTGCTGCCCAACAGTGTGAGAAGGCTCTTTCTCTGGCTCAAGGGACAGACTGAGTGTTCTTGCACCACATCCTTAATACTGTTAATTGTGCTGCTACAGCCTTAGAGGCAAGTAGGATGTGCTCCTCTCAGTACTGAACAAACAACAGGAGAAGCAGCAGGGTGGAAAGAGGAACAGGATGGGCAAATGACTGCCCATTTATTCCTGTCTCTAATGAAAATCCTAACTCCKGTTAATGTATTTAAGGATATTTAGTAGAGGATACCTCAACTTAAGATCAAGAACTGCTTTCTAATTTTGCTCTTAAACCTTCATCTGATAAGTTTCCTTACCTTCAAACTTCAGTGACTAATAACATTAAAGTAACCCACTTAGAAACTTAGAAGGTGAGGAGAGTCCAGAACATACTTGGCACAGAACCATGTAGGTGAGGAACCAAGACCATGTGGAGCCATCCTATTGTTTTAACAATAAGTTTAAGTGCTTTAACACTTGCAAGTCTGAGATTTCATGTGTTTCGTCGCCCCTGCATCTGAAACAGCATATAGGAGAGAGCAGCAAGTCCTCTAGACAGAGTGGTGTGAGGGAGGAGGGAGGCAGCTAACTGGCTCTTCTCAGTTCCACCCAGACTTTCCTTGCATCTTCATGCACACAAAATATAATAAAAACTAATAATAAAAACTAAGCTCATGATGTAAAAAATGTGTTGATATGGGAGGAGGAAGGTGTCTGTTGCTCAGTTCTGTGTCTTATCACCTTCATTAGCTTATAAGTTATGTTCCTCTCCGTCATTTCCTTTGGGGAGCAGGGAGGAGATTCTTCTGCAGCAGATCAGCTGGGATGGGTTTTGGTTTAAGCTGCTCTGGATCTTTTGGATAAGAAATGAAGGGAAGGGGAGGAATTCCTCAGAAGGAGGAGGGGTTCAGCAGCCACTGGCAGGAGTCACACAGGCTCCCTGAGACTTCACTTTATGGCGCTGACCCCCGCGTCGCCGGCCTCCTCCTCCAACTTTTGACTGAAAAAGAAGAGGAGAAGTTTCAGTGTGCAGTGACCACTGAATGAGAGTATCAACACARCAGGAGCTCAAAACAGACTGTAATGCACATACAGAAACTGAGGATGCTTTGGGCTGACTAGCTTCCTACCACTGCAGAAAGGCRGACAGACAGACAAACGCACCATGAAGTCCAGTCCTTTAAGCTGGACCCAGTTTCCCAATGTTCTGAATGCTTAATTCTCATGGCAGCCAGTGGGAGCTGTAAGGCTCAGCTTCTGGAAAATCAAGGCCTCAGATTCCCTCAGCTTTGAAGGAGATSCACCCCCATCCAGGGTTCCTGCTAAGATGACTCTGTTCCCAGACACAGGTTAGCAAACCCCCCACTCGTTTCTGAAGCAGCTGAAATACCTTGTTGCCCTCACGCGTGTGGGGCTCTTCATCCAGCGCAGGCTGAGGGGAAGCAGCAAGGAGAGAGAGACAGAAATAAGCAAGAGCAAAAGCAACACGGACTCTCAGAGGAAAGTATAAATCCAAGAGCAAGCTGGGAGCGTTACTTAGGACCACAGCAACGCTACAAAGACAAGGAGGAGCTGGTGGATCAGAAAGAAACCCCAGGCACATGCAAAGGGAGAGAACCCCTGTGGCAGGGCCCTCTTCTAGCAGCCAGCCTGGCTCAAGAAGGTACAATTTGAAGGAGCGCAACAGAAGGCAACATTAAGGGGAAGAGCACTGACAAAGAAATCAAGTCGCCTGACAGAATCAGTTTCTGATTTTTTCTACTAAAAGGAGAAGACCAGGCAATAAAGCTGATAAAGAAGCTCCCAAAGCTTTCAGTTAGAGCCTAGTTTTCCTTTCATTTCAGACCAGAAAAGCTGGGTATCCTTCTCACAAACTGGCAGCAAAGCAACTGAGACAAATTCTAACTATTTAGAGCTTTAGAGAGAAAGGCCCCTCCTTCACCTTTGATGTCTCCATCTCGCTTCCTTGAGAAGGCAGACGACCTGTTCCTGATATCACTGTTTAGACTGTAGGTTCTCTAGGGTAGGAATATTCTACTGCTCCCATGGAGAGCAGAGTCCCGTTCTGTGACTCTKCCTCTTAGACACTTTACCTGTACAGCTACTCAATACAAAGAGATTGCTCTTTCACCACAAGAATATTCAAGCAGTAAAACAGGTTACCTAAAGAGGCTGTGCAGTCTCCATCCAGGAAGTTTTCAAGATACAACTGGTTAAACCCTGAGAACTGGTCTGACTTCATCACTATCCCTACTTTGAGAAGGGGGCTGGTCTCTTCCCACCTGCATTACCTAYGATCCTAAGCTACCAGCTGCTAAAAATGATGAAAACTCATACAGCCTTCGTCCACCAGAGCATTCCTGATCTCTTCTGTGAGAAGATAGGACCCAAAAGCCAGAAAACAGGATGCAAACAGCCATGGGAGACGTGATACTTCCCTCACTTACCGGTGGCTGCAGGGCAGTAGGTGTCAATGGTGCTGCAGCTGTGGAGGGGGCCTCGTCCCCAGCTGGTGGCCCCCCAGCTGCTGTCCCAAGGGGGGACACACCGTCTTCTCGTTTCGTAAGTGCTCCCTTCTTTGTGGACTGCATCTTTATCTGCTGTGGTTTGGAGTTCATTGGTGAGTTATTGGTGGTCTGGAGTAACTACATGTCACAGAGAAACAAAAGCAGCATTAAAACAGCTGGGGCTCTCCAGCAAGGTTCAGGGCTGCTTTTTAATAAAAAGCCTCAGAAGAATCGACACCAATAGCAACTGAGGGAACAGAGCAGCAGCTGCTCAAGGGAAACTAGGTTGACCCACGATGAGCCCCAGAGCTGCCCTCCAGACCCTTTCAGGTCTGAAAGCTCCACTTAGCTGAGATGCTGCTCGGCTCTCCATGACATAACTCAAAGGGACCAGCTAGGAGCTGTCAAAAAGAGCCCAAGCASCACAGGCCGTCTGGCACATCCCCACCTTCTCATTCTCTCATTCACCCCATCCAAGAGTCATCACACAGCAAGGCACGTTGGTCATCCGGCAACCCCATCAGGGCTGACACTTGTCATCAAAGCACAGCCTCTTCCCTCAATTCTCCAGAGCTATCCAGCTTCTCCTGCTGGCTTCCCAGGGCCGCACGCAGCTAACGGGCGAAAGAAACGCAACTCCTCAGGCTTTACCTTAGTGATGGTACCCACGGCTTTGGTGCGGCCCTCGCGGAAGACCAGCCGCTGGTCTATGTGCAGGTATTCGGGGGTCTTGATGAAGCGGAAGTGCACGGTGGCTTTGTCCCCCGTGCGCAGGCAGTCCTTGTCCATGCTGAGGATCGTGGCCGTCTGGCGGATGCTGCCGCAATGCACTGCGAGGGCAACGCACAGAGGCTTTCAGCAGCCGGGGCCCCGGGCGGGACAGGCTTCAGACAGACCCCTACAGCTCCCACTACGTCACGGCTAACAATATTGAGTGTGGTAGGAAAACATCTCCTGGGGATCAAAGACCATGTGGGTCACGTGGCTGCCTTTGGTCAATCCTCAACAAAAAAGCACATCTGAACTAGAGCCGCTGGCTTAGAACCAAGGCTTTCCTGAGGGACAGTCAATGGATACCTACCCACCCAGCAGCTGGGCTAGAGCGCAGAGCCCCAAATGAGCAGGTTAGCATGTGAAGCTGAAGAAATTCTGCACCACAGAGTCCTGGCTCAAACAGGCTCTGAATACACCTTGGATTGTCCTTTTTACAGCRACCTGTAACCTTTACCTACCTACAGGTAGAGGTTACAACCTTTACCTGTTTACCTTTACGTGCAGCCTCCCCTGCTCATCTCCTCACCTTCCAGCCCTCATTTCTAAACACACGGCTGGGGAAGTTAAGACGAGGAACTGTGGCTTATATTCAGTTTAACAAAGCCATCAGGAACAAAATAACCTCAGGCTAGAGCTGATGTAAACTGGTCCTGCTGGGAAGCAAAGATACAAAACAAAGAAACAAAAATATTAGGCAACAATGAGACACATACCCATGGCCTGATAGCGCGGGCTGATGGTTGTGGGGTGATGGAGAACTAGAATCTCTGCTTCAAACTCCCAAGACGCCTGTGGGTTCAGGCGGGGGGACACCATTACCATGCCTTTCCGTATGGAAGAACGCTTGATCTAAAAAGAAGAGACATGAACGAGCTGAGTTGGGGAAAAAAAAAAAAGAAAAAAGGGCCCAGCTTCTTTGGCTGAGTGTGTCCAGAAGATCCCAAGGCTTTCACGGCCAGCCAAAGGCAAAGTAAGAGTTGTTCAGCAGCACAAAACCATATTATGCATGGGTTGCAAAAATTAAGTGCAGTGCAGGTTTCTGAGGATGTTTCAGTCAGSCTGCTGGGAATGCTGGATGCAGACAGAAGTGCTAACTCATTGCTTTTCTACAAACAAAATATGCATCTCTCCTTGTTGTGCATCACCCAAAGAGATGATACTTCCGAAGTGCAGTGTTCACTCATCACACAAAGCGACAGGCTCGAATGCATGGAGTTCAATAGAGCTCAAGCTACATCATCTTAAATCAGCTTACTGACATAAGCCTTTCAAAAGAGAAATTGTATCTAATCCTTCCTCAATTTTAAAACTCAAAACTGGTCCTAACAGTTCAAAACACATATCCTGTATGCCCAGGACACACGGGGAGATTTTTCTGGCACCACCCCTGATTTCTTAAAGATCTCCAAGGCTATTCCTCATTACCTTGGACCCCACTGCTGTTACTTTGCATGTGCCAGGAGGAAGGATTCAAACATGGGACCTACAGAGGTTCCTTGTGATTCTACTGTGCTGCGAAAGGAGGCAGCTGAGGTTAGCAGAAGCAGCTGGACTGCAGCTGAGCTAARAGCTTTCTGAAATGGGCAGAGCAGCTCCTGTTCTGGGCAGGGCTAGAGCAGAAGATCTCACCTTTTTCAGAGCAAAGGAGGCAGTCTGGCCTCCGCGCACCTCTTTGACAGGCATCCTCTTGCGGTGGATGGATTTGACAGCAATAGGCAGGAAGTTGCCAAGGGGATCTGGCCCAAGCAGCAGGGTGTCATTCAGCTTGATTAGGCCTCTTAGTGTTGTCCCAGACACAACTGTTCCTACGCCCTATGCCAGAAAAGAAACCTCAGCAGCGGAGTTAGTCACCGTGCTAAGAGAAGAGCTCTAGAACAACTTCTCTAAGCAAGAGGCTCTCTTCAACCAAAAACACAGAATGGAAAAATCTTCTAACCCCAGCGTCCTTACCGGGACAGAGTAAGTATCATCTATCTGGAATTCTGCTGGCTCTTCTTCTCGGTAACTGGTCCGTGGAGACAAGAGATTAAGAAACATCTTCAACAAATCCAGGTTCTCCCCAGTGACATTCGAAATCTGGAAAATCGGGCACATCCTGCAGAGGAAAATTGATGACAAAATGAATTAGTTGACCTCCTTGCCTGGGATTCCAAGTGTACGGAGACATCCAAAATCTTGGATTGAATTCAATACACAGTGCTAGAAAGGGAGAACCTGGCAAGCAAAGTCAGGTGCACATCATCACACATTTCAAACCCTGTAACATTGTCTCTATCTTCCTAATAACATTTAGAAGAAGAAAAAAAAAAAAAAAAGCCATAAATTTCCAGAATTGAGGGAAGCTGAATACCCTGTAGCAGCTTCTCATTTCTGGCTCAAACAGGGGAACACTAGCAGGTCGGTCTTGGAATCAACACATTCTTATGCAATCAAAATGTCAGAGGGCAAATACCACCTTAACACATCTAGACGATGGGGCTCTTTTTTCCATATCTTCTCACCCAGTCTCCAAGTAGGACAGAAAGACAAACGACTCTCCACTACTCCCATTACCTCTCTGAGCTGAAGTTGGAGGCTGTTACAATGACATCATCCTTGCTCTGAACCAGGACGGGAATCTTCCTGCACCCTGGGGACTTCAGCAGTCGCTGTAACAGCTTCAGGGTTTCTTAAAGGGTGAAATGAACATTGTTAGGGCAGCATCTCCCCTCTTTACAAAGTGCCTTTATCGGGTTTCCCCCAGGGAGGCTGGTACTCTTGTCAGAAACAGCCTGGAGAAGGTGGCTACATGCGTGTGAGCGAGGCTCCGTGTTTGCTGCAGCCTCGGGAGCCATTCCCTCTCTATTCATTGTCATGCCAGCTGGCCTGCTGCAAGTGACTGCACACAAACATACATATCTGCATCTACTACAATAAAGCAGAATTTTTACAGTTGTCTGTTAAGCGGTTTTAAGCGGTTGCAAGACATTGCCTCTTCCTCTAAAAGGAATTCTTATATTAAATTTAATRAAAACCAGCGGCATCCAGAATTGAAATACTTGAAAACAAGTGAATTAGAACTCAGTTTTGCCCAAAGAAACCTCAACACGCTTTCCCTGCCTAAGAAGGTTAGAGAAGAATGAAAGTGGTCAAGATCTTCAACACAGACCAGGACAGTGGGGACCAGAACCAGAAATAACTGGGCAAATTTGGTTCCTGACTCTAGTTTCTTGCCTCCTTTTATTTTGTTTTCTGTTTAAGTCTGACACCCAGCAGAGTAATACCTAATATACCAACAGAAAATAASTCTCCTGCAAAGAGCCTTGCAGTAGATGAGGAAAAAAAAAAGGCTAATAAGCACACAAAACAGCAAATCATTTATTTTTCACAATTGTCATCCAATTAGATGAATTTTGTGAACTAATGAACATTTAGGGGAAAGAAATGTTTTGGGTACAGAGAAACAAACATCTAATCATGCCATCTGGTCTTCACAGATACATTTGAGCCAGATCTTCTGTCTTTTTAATTTAAACAGCACATGACACTGAGGCTACTTTTCCCAAGAAGAACTCTTCTTTCCTCACCCTTAGCCAACCATTCCCCTTCCTTCCTAGATACTGATCACATGGCCAGGCCTTACATTTATTTGCCAAACATCTATTACAAATAGAGATATTTAGATTATCTTTTGATCGCCTGTTTCTGTCCATCTAAAACACATTTTTACAAAACTGATGAAAGAACAGACAGCTCTGGAGCACTCGCTTTTCTGTTCTCAAGACTTCTATTCAAAACAAGCACTGCTCCAGTAACCACAACGTGCTCCTGAAGGTGTAAGAAACAGCCAAGAGAATTTCAAAGGTGAGAGCAGATCACAACCTGCGAGAACATCAAGCACAAAAGCSAGGGGCCCATGCTGGGGTTAGAGATACTGCTTTAACTGGTGCTAAGCAAAGCAGTCGCTAGGCSCTGCTGCTCATGGCCATTCCCAGTCTGCATCTACTCGTCCTGCTGCCAAAACCCAAACATGCAGCTGCTTTGAATCATGCTTTGTCAGGTGCTGGTTGGTTCTTTGGACAGATATGCACGTTTGCTGGCTAATCTGAGATGTGTCCAGGTGAGTAGAAGGTGACAAACAACTGACAGCAGTCACCTCCTCACCCTCCCAGAGAACCAGCCTGAAGGCAGGTTAAGATCACATTCAAACTGTGGGCAAGGAGAAAGGCGGGAGCTTCCAAATGAACATCCAGAGTAACCTTCCAGGTTTGGATATCCAGGGACAAAGCAAAACAYCAACCCCAAACTTCTTTGTTGCCCAGATGAGCTTCCCACACCTAGGTAATTTGTAGATGAAAACTGCAAGGGAACTGCCTTGCAAAATGAGCAGGAGAGAAGGATGGATCTCTAGAAGGTATTTAAGATACAGTAAAAAGCAGGCAACAAGCCTTTCTTCTAGCAATAATTTCTCAATCCAGGTAGGGTCAACAGCGTTTAAGGAGGTARGAAATACCCTTGAAAGAGCTACGTTACCTTGGAGGATGTTGGCAGGACACATGTCAATCTTGGTCACCACAACAAAGACAGGAACATTGAGTGCTAGCGCCAGGCCCAAGTGCTCCTTGGTCATTCCAACAATCCCAGCGTTACTGCCGACCTACACAGGAAATACAGGMTACGGTAAAGCAAATGTTCCACTTGCTATGTGCTGGTTTACAGAGAAGGTTCTGTGTCAGATACTTAGTAGGCTGCGATTAGGCTGCCAAAATGTCCCTTGGACTTTGAGTACAGACCCAGCTCTTCCCAAATGCTTTTGGATATACTGGTAGGGGAAGACACACAGCTAGTGCAGCCACACCTCTCAATTTAATAAGATGTTCTGGTGTGTTTTTATTTTCCCCAAGAATTATACATCTTGGATGTCTGTGTGACTGAGAGTCCTGGAGCACTTCCCTCAGCRTCCTACATCCCTACAGGGGCTGCTGCTCTTTCCCTCAGGAAGTTGCTGCCTCCCCCTAAACAACACAGGGACCTTGCCATAGGAAAGAAGCGGAAGGGCTGCAGCTGTGAAGAGCCTCCTGCTGGCACTAAGCCTCTCTTTTGCTACATACCATAAGCATGCAGAAGTCAGGTAAGTGGCCAGTCATGCCAAAGACGGTGGTTTTCAGGTACTTTTCATGACCAGCAAGGTCAATGAAAGTTATGACCTTGGTGGATTTCTCACAGATCTTGGTCCATTCCAAGCTGCCACCGTGGCTGTCCGGCTTGTTCACCACGTTGCCCTCACTGTCGAAGCCCAGGATATCGTTGCCCACGCTGCTGGTGCGGCCTGATTCGATCTCATGCTTGTGTCGGAAGAGCTTTTGCCGAGCGAAGCCTCGGCCGTTGTCCAGTTCTCCGTGTGTCAGGACCCCCAGCAACGTGCTCTTTCCTGCATCCACGTTTCCCACCACTGCTACCCTAGAAGGGAAAAGAAAAAGGAACCTGGTAGAATCTGACAGCTGGAGGGAAACACACCACTGGTGCTGCAAAGAGTTCACTTTATTCTCACCAAAATTCAAGGAGAGGTTCAATTATATTAGATCTTCACAAGCACAGCAGCGATACTTTAATGGTTGTTAGTTAACAGGAGAGATCCAAGGCTCCGAATCGAGATTGCAGAAACACGTCACTGGTACCCGCGACACAGAGAACAGATTCTGGGATTGCTTAATGCTCTACACAGCACAAATCTCCCCCAATTCCCAGTGTCTGCAATCAAACACAAGTACGATGTTGATTCAAAAGTTTTGTCTTCCTAGGATACTTCTGGGTATTTTTTTCCATCTTSCTCATATTCCAATAGTATCAGGTACTGCAGAAGGCACTGAAATTTCAATTGCTCTCTTTCCATAAATGGCAAAGCTCGTAACACAATGTACCCTTGCCCAAGGGAATCACTTTTARGAGGACACCCACAGCAGCCTCCTTGCTGTCTCCAATAAAGGTGACCATTACGATCATTGGGAAATGCTGGAAAAAATCCATTCCATTAGGATCTGATCAGACCCTTAGGTTGCATTATCTGAGCTGTAAGATGTCCATTAAAAGGTGACTTGAATCACCACCACCTTGGAACAGAACTGAGCCGTTCGTGAGAAGCGTTTTATTCCAGCAGCATGCACACGGGCACGCACGTACACCCAGGAGTCCCTGCTGGGATCTGAGCACACAAAACATCCCCAAACCACGAAGCTGCCACCCAGACAACAACAGCCCTCAGCTAAACACAGGCAGACCTCCACGCACACAGCCTGCACACAAAGGGAAGAGCAACAACAACAACAAAGAGATCTAATTAGCAAGGAGCGCTCAAGCTCCGCTTTCTTTGTGGCCTCCGAGCTGGCTCAGCATCCCTGCCTGCCCACGTGCCAGAAATGCAGGGTGCTGACTAAGCCCGGCGCCACCCGGCTCCTCACCTGACCTCCAGGAAGTCGTTGTCACCCACGCGCTTGCGGACGAGGTAGTCGCGCACCCTGCCCCCGGCCTCCTGGTGCTCCCGCAGCAGGATCACGTCGGCCTCCATCTGCTCCGCCATGCTCTGCAGCGTGGCGTAGGACGCTTCCATGTCCGCCTCGCTCAGGCCGTATTCGGTGCCATCTGGGCAGGGGGGAGGAAGCAGAGGGCACAGGGTGAGCACCACCTTGGAACAGCCAGCAGGGATCTCGTTTTGCCTGCGGGACACTCGCCCGCTCATCAGGATTCACGCGGACCGGAGTTGTCAYGGCCATGTGAACAGATCGGGCACCGTCCGCCCAAGAGAAAATACATCATCTTAAATTGAACACCTAAAATATATTAGAAAGGCACCACATTTCATAAATAAAAGAATTTTCTCTACAATTACTACAAATAAAACYGAGGGTTTGCCAAGAAAGATCCACTTCTAACTTGCGTGTTCACATGTAATTGTACACATTGCTGTTCAGTTTTCATCAGACAGAACACCTCCTCTCCCATTGCAATAGAAGAAAATCCATTAACAAAAGGAGAGCTCTGCCTAAAATATCACCATAGTTAACCAGTGAAGTTGGACCAATTTAATCAAACAGCTTATTTTATAAAATCACATCCCAAGTTCATTTTTTCTCATAGTTTGGCCTGCACAGCTATTTCTGTAGGTCCCCCAACAYCTCCATTAAACAATGTTTTTTTGCCTGTCTCACTGTTTTTACCCTGGCATTTAAAACAAAAGCTGCCAAGCACACAGGAGGCCAGGAAAAGACAACAAGCCACTGCTCCCCCTCCACAGCCTTCCCAAGGAAAGAGCTGGCAGGCAGGGCAAGCTAGCAGGCAGCCTAAAGGCTTCCACATACTTCAGCTGCTCTCCTGTCCCAGGTGCCAAGAACCTGCACAGATTTTATACCAGAATCTCCAATCTGGGTCAAAAAAAAAAAAAAAAAATAGGGAACATGGAGAAAAACAGCACCTGGATGACCAGAGCTATTGCTGCTTACTCATCTGAATGCACGGCTGTGTCATCAGCTGGGAGGCACTAACTGCAGCTTGCACAACAAGCAGAGCTGTTGGGCAGGACTGGGAAGCTGCTGAGAGGGAGAAAACAAAAGGTGTCAAGATTGGGGTCCCGGTTTAGAGAAGGGTAATGAGAGGTGGGGGGAAGGAGAGAAGGAGCTGGAATGACAGCRAAAGCTCAGTGCTGCTGAGCCAGCCAGCAGCCTTCGCTGGCCCCACAGTCTTCTAAGCTGGGTATCCATGATGATCAAAACCATGGATGTTCATAGTGAGTGAGAAAGATTTTGGATAGAATATCAAGACTGTCTTCCCTTCAGGGTATCTGTCCCAATAGCCTCAACCTACAGGGAAGAACCTGAATTCTTCCCCAAGTATTCAGCAGCCTGAAATGAAGTCAGATGTCTTAGCTCGTATTCTAGGAAACAAATAGTGTGTCTGTTTCTAAGCATACCTCCACCACCACCAATCAACCCTCTCCTGAGACATCCTAGGACTTAATAATCCAGCTAGTTGCACATCCCCTGCAGATGTACTTATCCCCAGTGCCAGGGAATCAGATCACACATGGGAAGCTTGTCTGGATGCGAGAGCCCTGTATCTGTGATACTGGCTGCGTGACCATAGGGAATTTAATCCTGGCTTCTCCTCTCCAGTGGCTGTTTTGTAAGACATCAAGAAAACCTAACAAAATAGTCCTGATAATGAAACTCTCTCCCTCCATCACCCCCACCAGCTCTGTTGCTGAAGCCATGTGTCCTTCCACAAGCTTTGTAAATAGCAGATTGGTCACAACAAGTTGATATCCAATAGATATTTAACACATTTGAAACAGGCATTTTGCCTTGTGACAAGTTAATAACAGGCTGCCTTAATCAACTTGCTTTCTATTCAGAAAATAAACTTATATTTCTAAGCAAGGCCATGTTCAATACTGTTCAACAGTATCAAATGCAAATATTTGAACTGTGAAAGAGAACAAAGAAAAGGTAACCTGCATTATACTAGAAAAATCTACAAAGGCAAGTGACTGCAGTCACCCCCTAGTGAATGTGACATTAAAGGAATCATTCTTAGAAGATGAAAACCTTCTTCTGCACAGTACAGGAAAGCCAGGAAACACGACCAGAGAAAAGATACTTGGAATTTCTGAAGTATTTCCGATTACCTCCTGCCCAGTGAAGGGAAAAAATAAATAAATAAAAAGCAGCCATAACATGACTTCTTTCATACATGTACGGGTGTTGTGATTTCAAATCATTCACCTTCTCCTGACATATCCAGGTAACTTAGGCCTTATTTGAAAAAGAGTTTTTATGATTTTAAATAAGAACCACATACAGCTCTTGCAAATAAAACAGTTGCTGGCAGGGTTGGAGAAAAAAATCTCTCTCATTTGTTCTCTTTATATTTCATGAAGTTTTCCAAGTTCTTCTGGTACCCACCTTCGCCAGCAGTCCAGCCAGATAAACTTGGCTTTTCTCATAACGTTCCTGTTCTCTAGAGGAAACTAAACTCACCTGACCCTTGCCCAATGACATAGATGGTCTCCCCACATCCCTCGTCGATTCTCTCTGACATCTGCCGCAGCAAACTGTCGTACTGCTCCGACGTCGGACTCACCATCACCAGCTGGAAAACAGGGACCAAACGCTCAATTTGCAGATGTCAGGCAAAGAGTTTCAAAATCAGGTTCAGTTAGAAGGACAAGCAATCAATGCGCTTTACAAAGGAGGCCTCGTTTTCAAAGATCACTTTCTGTCTTTTTTTTATAAATATCAGCTTTGCTCACAGCTATTTTCCTGTGATGTGGCRAAAGGTTATTTGTCAGAGCTCAGTTTGTTTCTGATGGAAGATTTACTTCAAAATACGAACACCAACCATCTCATTCGGAGGTAACCACTGCTTTAAAGCTACATTTTGGTGAACAACCCACTTTTACTTCTCTGTAAGACATGTTCCCATGTCAGGGAAGGAGGAGGGRTTTTCTTCCCCCTAAAAAGTGCTTAGTTAAGGACTCAAACCAGTCTCCACGGCACACAGTGCTACTGTTTTCCAAAGCACAATACGACAGCAAGCAGAAGCGAGTCAGGTCCCACCACACCGCACTCCTACCAATCAAAACCTGCAGTATAAGYGTTTCATGTACATCATTTTCCCCTTTTTTTTCCAAAGGGACAGAGGAGAAGGAGAGAACACGAATCAAGATTATTTTCAAAATTTTTAACCAAACTTTAGGTATTTCACACCACAATGCTGCCACACAGCCACATAAAGCAGTTTGTACAAGCACAGTCAGACATTTCACCAGGGGAGAACTGCAGTTTTGCAAGCCAGCAGCCTGCAAAGCAACAAGCTTTGACTGCAGCTACTGCAGCAATGACAACTTCCTTGGCCCTTCCCTGCAGATGCATCAAKAGAAAGTGGATAAAAACATATGGGGAAAAAAAAAAAAAAGAAGATAGTGATTCCATAGGGAGTTTTTGGCAAACAGCCTCTTTCTGTGCAGCACCACTCATGGCAAAGCACTGTGTCAAACAGCTGAAAACACTCACGCCGGGACCTCCACAGAGTCACCGAGATGGCAGTGGGTGATGGCAAACTGAGGGGACCTTTGTTGGGGATCACATGGATACTCCTCTCTGGCCACCTCCATGAGCACAAATCTGGTGGCAAGCGAGCACCCTGGCACAGCAGCTCAATAGCTGCTGTGCTGGAGACCTGTGCTCTTGCTAAAACAGGCTCTTTTGYTGGTTTTAAGGGCTCCCTCCCTACTGAGCTCTGCAGACAGTGACGGGCTGCAACACCCAGTGAAATCCTTACTTCAGCTAGCAGCTCTTGAACACTCAACACCTAATCACGATCACAGAGACTTATTTCTCTCTATTATACACCATGGGCAGTCTGAAATCTGTAACAAGTTTTCCTAAAACACACTGTTTACACCAAAGCACAATGCTTACATCTTCAAACTCGCCCTGCTTTCTCTGCGTAAAGAGCCTGACTTGGTCACGCAGCCAACACAATGCACATTCAAGAGGAACTACCTGACTACCATAGGGGACAAAGCTCTTTATTAGAAATTATGGGTGCAACAGGACCAAAAAGCCCACATCTACTGCTCAAGCAGCTTTCAAAACTTAAGCGTGCATGCACCTGGACAACAAAGGAGACCAAAATTGCCTTCATGTACCTACTTTAGGTGTGGGTCCTATCTATGGCTTTGAATTACCTGACAGGGTCTGCAAAGCACCACAGGTGACAAGGCAGCCTGCTCTGCAATGCTAYACAGTCTCTCTTTTTGATGCTATAGAGGATTGGGGTTTGCCTTTATTAGTGATTTTTTAAAATTATTTTTAAGAAGATTGGATAGAAAGAGCACCGACGGGYAAATGAGCAATGATTTAGAGGCTTGATCAGGGCAGGAACGAGAGCCTGTGTGTTGACATGCAGGACTTGCTCTGCCTAGTGAGCACTTTCAGGAACTCCTGGAAGCGCAGGAGGCAGGCTCGCTACTCAGGCTAAGGCACAAGTGTTGTTCAGGGACACAGGGTGAGCTAGTAAATAGGTCCTTGCATCCATAAAGATCAATAAAATAACAGAGGGGTCAATAGTGTAGATGCAGGCTTTAACTTTTCTTCAAGTCTGAGCACTAGCTTCGTTTTTCTCAGTTGAAATGCTCCAGCAAGGAGAGTGGGCAAGGTGCTGACCAAAATACCAGGGCATTTCAGGCAAGCAGCTCACGACAGCCTTTCCTCAGGATGGAAGGGCAGGAGGGCTGGGGAGTCTGGGAACACGAGGGATCCACGCAGGCTCAGCTTGCACAGAGCACAATCCGSCTCCCCTCAAACTGTTGCTTTGATGGCCACGCAGGAAGGTGATGCTGAAGGGTGTTCCRGTGGCAAACCGTTGTCCCCAGGAGCAGTCCTCCAAAGCCCACCGTGAGGCCAAAGAAGCCTGCAGCTGATGGGATTCAGTTGGCTGTCAAGAGAAGAATGTGCAGAACAAGCAGTAGCTCTCTTGGGTCACCCATCCCCATGCGGGTCAGTATTCCTAGGAGCTCCTCTGCATCTCCCCAGCCATTTCTGCAGTTTCCTGGGTCACTACAAGACCTCATTTGCTGTTTTGAAGATCCATTTCCTCTAGCTCCCTGGACAGTGGGAGCCTGTTCTTTGCCAGCTCGTGGGTCRGAGTTTGACCCCTCTGGGTACCCTCCGTGCTTGCACCATCAATTCTTGTTTTTCTGAGGTTTTCAAAGCCAACATTTTTCACTTTTGTTCTTTTGCCAGGTATTGAGCAGTTAACAGCAGCAGATGTGTGGCTCTAGCAACCTCTGATTTCCTATAGGGTAAAAAAAAGAAAAAAAAAATCAGGTATTATTTCATCCTCATAATATAGAAAGAAAAAAATGCCCTAAGCTTGAGATGCCATTTCCAAAGTCCCTTCCCCGCAGGCTTTTCCTAGCTCTCCTCTAGTTGCCTTTGGGACTAGCTTGGGGAAACTCCATATACCAGAGACAGGCACAAGTCACAGGCAGCTGCCTGAGCCTGCTCCACGGGACAGGCTGCACTGAGCTGTCCTGCACTGCTCACCAGCAGCAAAGGGGCCACAGAGCTTTGRGGACACCAGTCAGACCAAGCTAGGGCTGTACCAGCCCTTCTGCAGGCAGGCCTCACAAGAGAKGCAGCCCCTTCTAACGTCTAAGGGCAAACTGAATATGACGTGGCCTGCGGTGCTGACGTAGGAGGGAATGATCCCACCTAACAGTCTGCACGGCTCAAAGGCCATCACTGGCCTGGGGGAGTTAGGGGAAAGACAACCCTGTGCCCTGCAATATTTCAGTGTCACATCCACACCTCCTGTAATGTGAGATTTTGCTTCCTATTTCCTGCAGACATACATACCTCGAGTGCTATTCAYGTGCTGTGCTCAGTGGAGATCTAAAAAGCATTTGTGCCTCACTAAAAGCTCTGCATGATATGTCTTTGATATGAAGGTTGATTATTACTGCAGCGTGTTTCTACTGAAGGGCAAACAAACACCCATTAAGATCAATGTGATAATGAATTTGTGCTGATGAATGGAACTGTTTGCTTGATCAACCGACACGGTGTAATTACTAACAGAATCCTAAAGTGTTTTTCTATAAAAAGAGCACACCTTACAACAAAATCGCTGGTGAGCTGGGGACAARGGAGGGGGGAAAGACGGGAGAACTGCATGCAGAAAAGCATGCAACAGGGTGGTGGTGGGTCACACCAGGGCAGGAGAAACAGCGAGCAAATAAAGAGCAGGGGGAATGGCTGTTTTCAGCAAGAAGTGGAGGGCAGCAATTAATTTAGGGAGAAATCATAATAGGGAGAAGAGAGAAGCAGGAAGGGGAGGRAGAAGCCAATTGCATTCTCACCATAAGGAACTGTTGTTTTGAGCAGAGAGCAGGAGGGTAACTTGGAGAGAGCTCACAGAGACAGAGCTCATACTTGGAGCTCTCATAGAAGGTAGGGACGCATGAGAGCTCCAGAAAAGGAAAATAAAAGAAAAAGATTGCAGGTGCATACTGCCATAGGGAGCACGAACAACTTGCAATAAAGCAGAACCGCTCACCTGCCACCTCCACAGCACCTGCAGACTTCTAGGAGCGAAGGCTGGCTGRCAACACAAGCGGTGCTTGCAGGAGAAGAGCATCTGCCTCTTCTTCACYGAGCGTGGGTCTGGTTCCTGGCTGTCCACAACCTGTGGCAGGGTCCTCGGGGTCCTGCTGTGCCCTTTTCCGTGGCGGTCACATCCAGGATAAGGCACAGGTCGGCTCTGGCATCCTGTGGCACAAACTCGTCCAGCTCRTTAGGACATGAGCAGGTGGCTCAGCAGGTACTGCAGGGGCGATTTCTGTCCTCTCCTTTTTACAAGGCATCTTCATCACGCTTGYTTTAACACACATTGTATAAACATTCCAGTCATCCAGGTTTCTACATCCACACGCCAGCCGTTCTCTCCCTTTGCTTCTCCACAGAGGGGATCCAGGAGTCTAAAACAACTCCAGCTGGAAGCACGAAGAGGAGGGGCGGCAGAGAACTCCAGGGAAACACTGGCCACGCTGGCTCCTAGAGCGGGTAAACACCCTGCACAAAATCCCGCAGCCCGGGCGCCTCRGAGCAGCACCGGCACCAGGACACCGCGACCCGCCGGCCGCGCGTGAGGCGACCGGGGAGCGGGAGCAGCACCGGGCAGCCCGGGAGCACCGGYGGGCTCGCGGCAGGCTCCGGCACGGGCGTGTGGTTCCCTGCGGCTGCAGGGAAGCTTTCCACGAGGCGCGGGGAAGGCTGTTCCCACGGCGCCCATTCCACCTCCAGCCGTGGCTCGCAGCCCACCTCACGGCTCCGGACAAACCTCTCGGCGCCGGCGCAGCCCGGGGCAGGAGCGCGGGGCGCCGCTGCCGCCGAGCCCCGGCGGGCTCCGACCTGCCCCCAGGACTGCCCCGACAGGCCGGGCAAGCGGCGCCGCAGAGAACCGGAGACAGCCGGCGACAACCGCGGCGCGGGGCGAGGCGAGGCGCCCCCAGGCCGCGCGTGGCCGCGGGAGCCCGGGCCGCCGCCGCCGGGCCTACCTTGCTGGTGAGGTCGATGTCGGGCTCGCCGTTGAGCGCCTCGCCCTCCTCGGCGTCGAAGGCGTCGCGGAGCGGACAGGCGGCCGCCGCGATGCGCGGGCCCCCGCCCGGCGAGCCGGGCTCCGGGGCGAACATGCAGGCCGGCACCGGGGAGCCCGCCATGGGGGAGCGGCTCCGCTCCGCCGCCGCCATCTTCCCTGCCCCGGCCTCCTCCGCCGGGAGGCGCGGCCGCCCCGCCCCCAGCCCGCCAAGGCGGCTCGCGGCGGGGGGAGCGGGCGCGCCCAGCCAATCAGCGGCGGGGGAAGAGGGTAATTGGGTTGTAGCCATGACAACAGAGGGCGGGAGCGCGGCTCTTCATAGGCTGGGCCACGCCCCCGCGAGGCGCGCGGAGCCAATGGGAGCGCTGCTGCCAGCTCGACTTGTTTTCTATATATATATATATACACACATACACACAGACACACCGGAGCCCGCTCGACGTGGCGGCGCGTCCTGACCAATAGAAGAGCAGGTCCTCATGACAAGCAAGCCCAGAGGCCAATCACACGAGAAACCTCGAGATACGGGGCGGGTCTAAACCTCTGTCCAGGGTGGGCTGGGCGTGCCCTTGTAGGCGGGCACGCTTCCCCAGTGGCCAATAAGAAAGAAGCTTTTTTTTCATGGACATCTGTGTGAGCCAATGGCGTGAGGAGAACGCGCGGCCGAGCTCCGCGGGGCCTGGCGGGCGCTGGGCCCGGCTGCCTGGGCCGGGGCTCGGCGGGGAAGGCGCGGACGCTTCCCGGAGCTGCCGCCGTGCTGGGCGGGCCCGTGGGGGGCTCAATCCCGGATCCCGGCGGAACGGGCAGTCCGTCGCCGCGAGGCTTCAGTCCCCGCTGAGGGGCTTGGGCTTGTCGGCCTCGCGGGCCGGCGGGAGGGCCGGTCGCCACGGGCACGCGCGCCCTGCCGGAGGACGCAGCCGGGTCACGTACCCGCCCGCGAGCCACCGCGGCTTCCAGTTCGGCAGGAAGCAGGAGGAGGAAGGGCTTATGTTTATTCATCAGGCGGTAAACCACTTCAGTCACCCCGCCGGGTTTATCGCAGGACGCCCTCGTTAATTAAACAGGCGGGAGCCCAGGGGAAACTGAAGCCCGGGGAAACTGCCTTGGCCCCGGCCTAGGCAGCGCGTTCGCGGCAGAGCTGGGACCCGTCGCGCTGCGGGGCGTCACGTCCAGCTGGGCCCGAGGGGCTGCTGCCCGCGCGCCCAGCCCGCTGCTTTCCCCCGGTGTCTGTGGTCACCGAGCTTCGCCGCGGGCCTTGCGGTGGGGAAAGTAATAATAACAGCAGCAACAATAATAACAACAATAATAGTAGTAATGCCACCTTTCCCCTTCCCGCCCCCAAGCTGACAGCGGTGACGTCACGCGGCGGCGGGGAGGGGAGCGGAGGGGAGGGGAGGGGGGTGCGCGAGGGAGCGGGGCGCCGCGGCGCATGCGCGCGCGCCGGGGCGGCCGTTGGTGTGGGGCGGCCGTTGGTGCGGGGCGCCGGGGGCTGCGGGTGAGTCGGTGGCGGCGGGGGGTGCTCCGGCCGCTGCCCCCCCTTCCGAGGGGAGGGGGCTCCCCTTCCATGGCTGCTGTCCCCCTCCTTGTGCCCCCTGCTCGCCCGGCAGCGCCCTGGGAGCCCCTGCGGGCCTGAGGCGGGGGGTGCGTGGCGGTTGTATGCGGGGGAAGGGGCGGTTTCCCGCAGGAAAAACGGGAAGGCGGCCCGGCTGGGGAGGGCAGGAGACGTGAGCGAGCGCACTGACGGGGGGAGGCTGCCGAGGAGGAGGCTGCCCGGCSGGGCTGTTGCCGCGCCGGTGCGGGCGAGGGGAGGCCTGCGGTGGGGAGGCGCGAGGCGGCCGCGGGGCTCGGGCCCGCGTGCCCGCGGCGGGCTCCGGGCCGCCCCCGTTCGCTGCTAACGCAGATCTCCCTTTGTCAGAAGCGCAGGGTGACTCGTGAAGAATTGGGAGCCAGGACCCGGTTTGGTTTTGTTTTGTTTTGACTCTGTGGCCTAGCAAGAGGCAGTTTCCTTTCCCGAGCTGCTGACGTCTTCTTGCCTGGACTCAGTCATCCTCGGAGGACTGGAGGAATGCAGCCGATAAATCCGTAAGGTCCCTGTGTGCCGCAGGCAGCGTCAGAAGCTGGCTTCACCTTCCTCCCTTTGGCACCTTGGAGCTGGGCTTCTTCTTATTACCTGCTCTGGATACCCTTTTAGCAGCGCTATAGACCAAAGGAGATGGAAGAAAAGGAACGATGTGACAAGTTCCAGCTGGTACCTTGAGACTAAAGGGATTCATATCTTTTGATATATATATATATATATTTTTTTTTTCCTTTGGGGGTGGATGGGTGGGAGGGAAAATACTGCATTTTACTTTGGGGGTGGATGGGTGGGAGGGAAAATACTGCATTTTATGGGGTATGGGAGGAGGGAGGGAAAGTATGTTGCAAATCTCTAAGTGATATTTAAAACCAGCCATCAGAGACAATTACAGAATATACTGAAGCACAAGAGGAGGGTTTCTGAGCTGGAAGCAGCACTAGTCTCCAAGAGGGGGCAGTGGGCTGCGTTTGTGACTGTGGAGGAAGAAACTTCAGGCTCCTTCATTTCTCACCACCTTCTCTTCATCCACCCTACGAGAAAATGAGTTGCGTGCCATGGAAGGGTGACAAGACTAAATCAGACTCACCAGAACCACCCCAGCCACCACCACTACATATTTACCATGAGAAACAACGTAGGGAGCTGTGTGCCCTCCATGCCCTCAACAATGTCTTCCAGGACAGCAACGCCTTCACTAGGGAAACCCTGCAGGACATTTTTCAGAGGTAGGATGCTCTCAGCAGCGGCAGTGTTAGCTTCCCCTTGGCTCTGTTGCTTGAGCACTATTCAGATCTTGTTTTGACAGAGGAGTAGAGCAAAGGAAGTGTTCAAAGTGTATCAAGGCTTTGGACTGAACGTAGCTCTTTCTGTCTTTAAAATGTGTTATGTGGTGGCTTTATTGTTTTGTTTTCCATGCAGAGATCCTTGCCCTGTCCCTTTCTCTCATTCGTTTTTCAAATTACTCAGGTTTCCAGGTTTGGATAACAGAGCTCTATTGCATGCCCTCTTATGTGATAGCACCTGCATTCTTACTGCTCTTAATGAATCTTGCACGTGGCTTCCACGTTTTTGCCCCTGCCTGCTGTAGGTATGTTATTTTGGTAACATACCAAGGTATGATGTATCTTGGTATTGACCTGGGSAGTTAAGAGTGGCAAGAGTAATGGGTCATCATAAAACCTCTTGATGTAGTACCACGGCACTTCCAAGAAATTAGAAACCCTGCCAAATGAGTGATTCCTTATTCAAGTAATTAAGTGAAGTTCTTCGAGTATTATGTTTATCCTCTAGTGCGATCACGTGTGCTCAGGCAAATTATRCTTAATTTCAGTAGCTAAATTTCTGTGGCATTGTCAGAAAAAAAAACACTTCTTGAATTTTGTTGAGTTAAATGTATACGATCTAATGTAGTCAGTGGAGGGTTTATGTTCTGCACTGTTTCTGCACTTCTGTGGAAATTCTCCTGGCCATGAGGCATGCCTTTGAAGTTTTTTATGATCCTCATTGGTGAAGCAAAATAATCAGTTATGAAACGGAGACTCCTCTGATGCTCTATATGCAGGTACTGTAACTATCACATAAGTTAGACTTCAGTACACGTTACTGGCATTTGACAGCATATTGTGGCTTATGACGTAGGAGGTGTAGCAGAACTGTTGCCATGAGGCATCATGATCTTTCTGTCGAGGATGAAAGTTTGCAGTATTCACAAACCCTTAGAAAATGCAGTGACACTGTTCTGTATTGATGTGTTGAAAGCTGTTTGCCTCTTCTCCTTTCCTGAAAATCAGTGGATCTATGGAAGTGGTCCTTGACTCATCAAGTACATGCATTCCTTTCTTTGGTAAAAGAACTGTGGTGATGGACAGCTTCAAATAACAGATTGCAATGCTGTTTACAATAGCACTGTAAATTAAATTTTTGTTTATGCAGTGGAGCTGGCCTGCAGCTCTCGCAAAGCACTGTGTCTAGTATAAAACTCTATGTTTTTGTTCCAGAGCAGCAGTTGTCAGAAACTTAATCACAACTGGGTTTCTGTTGGCCTCAAGCAAACAAAGTTGGTTCATGTGGCAGAAATAGTGTGATGGTCTAATTAGCTGGTTTTCGTTCAGTTTGGTGAGATGGAATTAGTTTGCAGCTTTGAAGTGAAACTTCTGGGGAAAATTGGGATGGTAACCTTGTCAGACCTCTTGCCTTGGGAGGAAGAACTTGTCTTTATTCCAWGCTGGGCTTGTTCCACTTTAACATTTAGCCCAAGGTATATGGATTTATTGAACCTGCAGGAGTATGAAAGCAATATAGAAATTCCTCTCAGAAAAGGATGGGCTATAAACACTTGCCTCTGTATCCATTGCATCCATCTTAGATTGCTTTGTATGTAGTTCTTTGACTAGGGTGGACTTAGCTGCCCTTTAAATGTCACTTTTCCATGCATCTCTCCTGCCTTAACACAGACTCATTCTGTGTTAATAAATCCTTGATAAGTCTTTTATCAAATTTATTTAGTAAGCTACAAAAATGATGAGRGGCATGGTATAAACTTGGCATGGAGAAGGAAATGGAATCACACATAAGTTTAAGCTTTCTCAGCTTTGCCCATGTCCCTTGAATAATTGAACTATGTTGCTTAATCATTAATTCCCCTTTTGCTGCATCCTACTGTGTAAAGCCAATGTAGACTGATCATCATGTATGCTAAAACTTTGCCCAAACGCTGCTCTGATTTTATAGCTTTCCTTCTTTCCTCTAATAAAAAAAATATTTTTGATGTTACTTTAGCCTTTTTTTTTTCCTCTCCTCTCCCAGGAGGCAAAATGGTTTGTTTGCAATTCCATGYAACATTGAGAACATGCAGACAAAAGCTCATCCCTTAAGTCTGTGGGTTGAGACCTCATTTGGGCAAGACAACTGTGTCAGAGCTCATTCCATTAAGACAAAGTGCTGGCAAAAGCTCCTGGCTTGGGAAGCTGTGCCCAGGCTTTTGTCTAACTTGCTAGTCTTGCTTTCACAGTTTAGTCTCTAGGTACGAAATTCATTTTGGGAAGGCCACTTAGCTTCTTGTGTGATCAGAATCCCTCCAGTTGTTCTTGGTGACAGTGTGTTTTATTTAGGCATCTGTAAATATAAATGTGCTAAGGCAATTCCTGATGAAAGTTTGCTCGCAAATAACAGCTCTTTGAGTTTATTACTGCTGCCCGTGCGTGCTGCATTTCTATGGCTCTGGGGCCTGGAAAGCTGTGGGAAAGAACAACGATAACTGCATTCCTTCAGTGCTCAGATAAGCTCTTCTCTAAAGACCTGTGCCACAAGAGGGTGCTTGTGCAACCCAAAGGGCTCTGTCGGTTAGAAAGCTTTTGTTCTAGCTTGCTAGCGCTCAGAGTTAATAGCCTGAGGCAGGGTTCTTGGACACCTAGTTGAGAGTTCAGTGATCTTGCTTTGTGGAGGTACTGGAAGCACTGGTAAGGTACAGTGGCATCTCTTTTTTTTTGTAGAATAAAGTTTCTAAGATATGGAGGTGGGAATCTCTGGTTCTCTGCCTCACTCAGCAGTGGGCAGCAGCAGGATATTAATAGTGTTGTATTTTACCCTGTTGTTTCAGGCTCCTTTCCCCTCTGCAGCTAAGGCACCCCTCAAGTTTGCTGCAGTGCCTACTCACCTGCCAGAAAATTCCTGGCTAATGCAGCTGGGTACTGGTTTTTGCCTTTGTTGATCTGAAACTCCCTCCTCAAAACTTTGCTCTCTTCTTTTTGTCAAATGTCAGGGGAGGAACGCAGAGGGCTGAGGTATTGGCACTGACCAAAACTTGCTTGYAGGATGTGCAGTTTGCTGAAGGCCAAGCAGGCAGCGTGTAGGAACGTGGTGAGTTTTGAGGGGCAGCGTGCAGGAGGAAGAGGCAGGTGAAACATGGCTGCCCAAGCGATGGGAAGCATCTGAACCTTATACGGGCAGAACTAATGGAGCCCTTGCCAAGCAAATGAGCAGTGAATGCATCTCAAACAAAGTGATCTTGGGGCTGACTTTCCTCAGTTTGGCACTGCATGTCACTGCTGTTTTACCCTCCCACCTCTCCTCTGTGCTTGTTTTTCTTAGGTGTAGAACCCCGCTTGCCTTTTCTCCCTCTCTCTCTCTTTTTTTCTTACCTTAATAACTCACCTCTCCTTCACTTCCCGCTCTCAAAAAGGAAACTAAATACAAATAACTGAGTTTTTGTTGTGTGTCTATATTGTCTTGCATCCATCATCCACATCTGTACAGCAGCTCCATCTTATATTTTGAATGTAATCAAATAGATTGAGATTCTGGAATTTTAGAAGCTACRGTAATGCAAGTGATGTCTAGCCAAGCTTCTAAAGGAAAGCTTAGGAGATATATTTGCAATAAGATTAGCTATTAAGTTACCAATAGGAGTGGGTTTTATTATTTTATAGCAATGGTAATGTAATACTTTAGAAAGYTATTCTTAATACTTGTCTTAATACTTGTTTGGCTTATGAAGGTGGGGGGATATACCCACTTCTTTGTGCATCCAGGCTATGCTGGCTTTTATGATCCTCAGCCAATCTTAAAGATTGATGCTCACTATTAAACTCTTCAAATTGCAGTATCTGTTATTCTGAATGGCAAACTGACGTTCACTACAACCATGAATTGAAGAAAAAATAATTGAAGCATTAATTCAGAAGCACCAGTTCCAGAGGGGAGAAAGCTTGCTGTTTTGCAGTCTCTTTCGCATCAAAGCTAGAATCTGTGGGGATTTCATACATCAAAGTTGTTCGTAATGCATAATTTAGGCCTTTCAGCCTCTCTGCCTGAGGGCATAAGAGGGAAATGGAGTAGTTCATGTATTACAGAAAAACTGAAAGCTGCCTCCAAGTTATTGATAAATCTAACTAGCTCCTTCCAGTTCTGGATCTGACAGGGAGATGGAATTGGGATATGGGCTGCGCAGACAGTCCCCTGTTCTCTTTGCAGGCTCTCTCCCAACACCATGGTGACACCCCACAAGAAGAGTATGCTGGGGAATGGCAACTACGACGTGAAYGTCATCATGGCAGCGCTGCAGACCAAGGGCTACGAAGCGGTTTGGTGGGACAAGCGCAGGTACTGAGAAGCTTCTGGCACACTGTTCATAAAACAAGGAAGAGATGCTGCAGAAGTGCCGAAATGTAACCTGACTGTTATCCGTTTTCTTTGCTCTTTCAGAGATGTTAATGTCATTGCCCTGTCTAATGTGATGGGCTTCATCATGAATCTGCCCTCCAGCCTCTGCTGGGGTCCCTTGAAGCTCCCCCTCAAGCGACAGCACTGGATCTGTGTCCGGGAGGTGGGAGGCACCTACTACAACCTCGACTCCAAACTCAAGATGCCCGAGTGGATTGGAGGTGAAAGTGAGCTCAGGTGGAGATACAGATTATATAATCCTTTTTTTTCCTTTTTTTTCTTTTTATTCTAACGTTCTTCAAATTCTTCCCTGAYGGAAGTGGAGAGTCTTTCCTTAAACAGATAGTGCTTGAAATCTTTATGGCTGAGTTCCAATAGAAAAAAATAACGGGAGCAGAAAGATTTTAGTGCCTCCTTGTCAGCTTAAGGCGCTTTTGTGTAAAACTAGGGAAATGTTTTAGCCAGTAGCTTAGCAGAGCCTGACTTCACCTTTTACATGGCTGGCTCTGTCACTGCAATGAATGTAGAGGKCAGGTCTGATAGCTAGCTGAGCTGCCTCTCTTTGTTAGATAAGAGATTACCAGCAAGCCTTGGCCTCTTGGCTAGTGGGGCGTGTGCCTCTGTTACCAATAAAAATCCTTCCAAATGAGAAGTGCAGCCTTACTCTTGACAGCAATAAAAGCKACTTGCTAGGAAGAGTTTGCCTGTTTAAGCCAACAGTGCACTTCTTGCTCGACTCCACTTTCTCCTTCAATCTTAACAGAGGATTGCTGATGTAACTTGCTTGGATTGTAAAAGGCAACCTATTTCTAGCTGTTATTTAACTCTTTCCCTTCATTTTCTGAAGTTACACTAGCAGCTTTGCTGTCTCAGACTTGTTCTGATGTAGGGGTTGCATGTGAGCAATATTTGCAGAGTTTGTCTTGCTCTTAAAGTCTTGGTAAAGTGAATGCAACCTTGTTTATGAGCTTCTGGGATAAATTAGTACAATTCTTTAATCTGCAGAGCTGCTGAGGGATTTTATCCTGGGTACACTGCTCATCAGCAATAAAGACTTCCTTTACAGATAATTTTAGAAGCCTAGGCTGAAAGATACTGGAGAAAACTTACATTTGACTTGCATAATTATTGAAGATAATCCAAGTTTCCTATTGGAAAAGGCTTAGAGGCAAAGAGGCAGTGCAGAACCAAATGAAATCCCAGGTCATGTGCTGCTGATGCTGCTATTTGTGATAAGGACATCTAAATGATGATGATTTTCTCACAAGTGTTCCAGTTTGATTGGAATTATTTTGTAATGCAGTGGGATTCTTTGACTTGGAGACCTGAAGGATCCAAACTTCTAAATTCTATTCTATTTTGGTCATCTCAAGAGAACAAAATGTCCTTGGAAAAACTGGAAAGTGACATCCATATWATTTTCTCTCAGTTAAAGAGGTTAATGTCATGTCCATCTCATTCTGCCAAAATTTGCTTGGTGGAAGTGTTTTACATCCATTAGAATTTAATGTTAGAATTCACTTATCTTTGTTGAAAGATAACTAAAAGCGCAGGGGAATTCTCTCCCATTTCCTGTGTTTGCATGGTTAGTAAACATGAGTTTGAAATTCTGTGTGTGGGGRGGGTCTTTATTGTATGTTGGAGGAAAAATAAAAAGAAAGATCTGTATGTTCAGTAGTTTATTTCTGTTTCTCATTCCCATAGGAAATTTTTGAAACACCAGCTGAGAGGAAAGAACTGTGAACTTCTGCTGGTGGTGCCGGAGGAGGTGGAAGCACATCAGAGCTGGAGAGCTGACGTGTGACCTGGAGCAACTCTGTCCTCTCACTACAGCTCCTCCCCCTCACCAAACTCCCAACGTCCTGCAACCTGGATAACGGGTGCCCCCGGTCTTCTCTTCTGGAACTTGCTTTTGTTGGGCTCTCTTCTTCCCTCTTGGTGCAATAGTGACATAGGATATTGGGGAAGGTGTTGCGGGGAGAGAATTAAAGGCAGAGTGGAGGAAACTGGAAGCCAATCACTTTAATTGCAAAGGCAAATGAGCTGCGTGCTCTCAAGTGAACTAGAACGCAGCGCGCTCTTCAGACCTGGGCGTTGAGGCCGGGGTGCCTGGAACCTGCTGGCCTCCCCCTCCCCACGCCTGCAAGGCCGTGTGTGGACACCGCTCCCTGTGCGGCTCCCGCCAGCTGCTCTGGCTGGAGTTTGGCCAAGGGAAGCGCAGGGCCAAGCACCCTCCTCATCTTCACGAGCCTCTCCCTTTAGAACAGCAGTGAAGACGTTTGCGATTCAAAAGGGTCTCTCAGGACGCTCTGAAACACTAGGAATCTACCATGCTCAGCACAGCTCTGCTGCTTCGGGGTGGTTCGCGCCAGGAGYTAGAGGACAATAACAAAAGCAGTGTCATCTTTCAAAAAACTTTTTGGGAAGCTGGAGGATTCTTCCACAGTGTCTCCAGGGATTTACGTACGTAGTGGAGCAGTGGTTTGGCAATATGCGGCCGGCAAAAGCAGTGTGGAAAGAATAGCACAGGCTAATTGAGGAATACTGAGTTTCCAAGCTGAGAAAGGCTGCAGTCTGCTTGGCTTTCTCTGCAGTGTTGGGTGGTTTTGCTCCCTTTAAAATCTGATGCTCTCTTGGTTTCCTGCATGGTTACCCAGTAGCTCAGGGGTTGCTTGAAGAAGGGAATAAAACTGAGCGCGATTTGAGAGGAATTCATTCCCTGTTGTTCTCCTCTTTCCAGAAGTCCAGCCTGTGGTAGCTAAAGTCACACAGACTGCCCCAAAAGGAAGCTCAAGTTCTGCAGGAAACTCAGCTGAGGATGGAAGCCTTTATGATGGGCACTGTCTCCCTTTATATAGCTCCTAGCAGCTAGCGTGGGAGATGCACAGGGTCCAAGCCGAGTCCCTCGGCATTAGGGACACTCTGGCACAGTCGCTGAACCAGGTTCTTTGTGGTAACTGACAAACATTCCGTTGTGTCACTTTTTCCTCTTTTCCTTCCTGGGAAAAGTGACTAGATGGGGAGACTGTAACYGGAGTCTCCATCTGCTGTTTCCCTGTAACCTGGGTGACCTTTAGCTCAGTTACTCCTTTTGCAGCAGAGTGAGGAAGTGCTGAAGTTCAAATGGATTTCACGTGTTTGGAGCTCGCTGGCTGTTCTGTCCCTCATACATCTGATGTCTTCTCTTTTTAGCTGGTAGTGCCTGCAGAGCGATGGAGCYGAGATCCTGCTCCGTTCACAGTGTTACTGGTGTTTGAGCTTTTGAAAACAGGGTGGCTTGAACTGCGTTGTTTCTCAGCTTCCTTGAAAGCTCAGCAACACGCGAGCTGGTGTCTGCAGCGGAACGGGAGGCCACCGCAGCGGGGCTTTCACAGAAAAGGGGCCCCGTGGCCGCAGGAGGGGGATGGCGGGTGCTGACGCGCGGACATGCAGCGAGCGCCGGCTCACCGTTCTGAGCACAGCCACCTGAAGACAAGGGCACGTGGCTCTTACGTTTTAAAAACGTATCGTTTCTACAAAAAGTCCTATTTCTTAACACATTCCAATGACCAATACCAGCTGGTAACCTTTTTAAACACTTTATAAGCCGAGTGCAAGGGGTGTGGGCTTTCTGCTCATGACTTGAAGCCATTTCTTCAAGAGGGGAAGGAGAAAAATGAATCTCAAAAGCAACATATTCTATGTTGATTAATAGCGCACTTTGGAGAAACGCCGTTTGCATGAAAACTGCAAGCCAGTGGATCAGTGCACAATATGCAACTACGTTTTAAAATACTTTGGGGCTACTTTCCTCTCCTTGTATGTCAGTACCTTTCCTGTGGGGGAAATTACTGTGATCCAGCTGCTCAGGTAAAGGGAAACTGCATGATCACATCCCGCTGGGAAGCAGGGCTGCAGTGACAGAGAGGAGGGCCAGACCAATCCAGGCCCCCGGCTTGGGAGGGGGGAAGCCCGTGTTCGTTTTCTTGCTTGTTTGGTTTTGGTAGAGCCTTGTCTGAGTTTGTTTACAGAGATGTATTTTGTTTAACCAAATATTAAAAATGGAAAAAAAAGTTTCCATATAAATGTCCTATCACTTCTGTATGTTCAACTGAATTGTTCTGTAACAAAGTATGTAAAGGAAAAATAAATTTTTTTCTTTGGTTATAAAACTGGAACTTGGTCTCTGAGAAGGAGGTAGAGTTGGGAAAGAGGTGCCACCCTCCCCAACTCTGCCACCAGGCAAGAAAGGAGCTGAGCCTCTCTAACAGACATCTAGTAAAACCAAACCACTCGGGTTGAATTTATTTCATATAAAAAAAAAAAAAAAAAAAAAAGCATCAGATCAGCATAGATGTGATGATCTCCAAGCCAGTCTGCTGCTCTGTTGGTACTCACGCGCACATCCACACGCACATGCACRACACTGCAGTGACTGCAGGGGCACCCACGGCTGCCCCGGGGCTCCGCTCCCCAGGCACGGCTGCCTGCTGCCCTTCCTCCTCTCTGCCGTCTCCTCCTCGCCCTCATGTCCTTCGGCTTTGGGGGAGCCAGCAAGGATCTTTCTTCGGATTGATGACTTGAAGCCTGACTCGCACCCCAGGGTGGATTTTTTTATTATTATTATTATCTGGGTGAACAGGAGTCCCAAAGTGAAACTCCCTCTCTTCAAGTCTCTGTAACCGCTTCTGACAGACTGATCAAATAAAAGACTCGTGACTTCTACGGGGGACGAAGACAGGCCGGAGCCATCGTCAGGTCCGGAGAGGGGGCTTCCCTCCACGTTATGAATAGGTCAATGTCCCGAAGTACAGCCAAAAATAAAAACAAACAAAAAATGCCCTGACCCAACAAATCAACAGTTCAATCTATCATAATCTCAAGGTCTTCCCACATGATACAAATCCAGCGCAGCCTCTGCAAATCACATTTTTCCAGGAAAGGGAGGCAGGGCCCCTGGCATTCCCCCGGAGAGCCCGGTGTTGGGCCCTAGTAGAATCTGTAAGAGAAGCAGCCAGGTAAGGGGCTGCCAGGAGGAGCAGCCTGCCGCCCTCCGTGCCCAGAGCCACGGAGCTGCACCTCCAAAGCCGGCACTACTGGCGGATCCACAGGATCATGGATGGAAACAGCAGGAGATACAAAGTGGGAAGACACAGGAGGGGAAGGAGGCAGAGGAGCACGGGGGCACCCTCAGCCTCCACTTCCATTTGTTGGGGATGAACCTCCTGACAGCAGCGGGAACTCTCCTCCCTATGGAGGGAATCCACCGGGATTCACTGCCATGAACCCCACAGGGAGACTCTCGCTCCAGCACGGGGAAGGACCCAACCAGAGCATCTGGGATGAACGGCACTGCAGCACATCGGAAGGGACTCCCTTCCCGGTTTTGTGCTCCGTAAGCTCCATTGGCAGCGGGCATCCCCCGGGCCAGGGGGGCAGCCGGGAGCCGCTCCGGGCCCGGGGAGGGCCCCGGCGCTCCGGCCTCACCTGTCGCTGCTGCAGCTGCTGCTGCTGCTCCATCTGCAGCTTTTCCGTCTCAAATACCACGGGAAGAACCAGGATCATGAAGGAGGTGGTCCCGATCCACAGAGCTGCCCTGGAGAACCTGGGAAGGAAAAGGAAGAAGGAAAAAAAAAAAGAGAGAGACGGGAAAGGAGGAGGAGCAAGCCCCTCGGGATGCGGCTCGGCGGAGGCACCAGCCCCGCGGCCCGGCCGCGCTGCAGGGGAGCCGCCGCCGCCCCGCTCACCTGTACATCTTCTGCGCCACCGACAGCGAGAGGTCGAAGGTGGCGCCGGCGGCGGAGCGGACGCTCTCGGGGAACATCTCGGTGAGGCCCCACAGCCGCTCCGCCAGCGTCTCGTCCAGCTGCGGGCGCGGGCAGCGCGTGAGGCCCGGCCCGCCGCCCCCCCGCCCCGCCCGGCCCGGCGCCGCTACCTCCTCGTCGTCGTCCTCCTCCTCCTCCAGCTCGTCCTCCAGCTC